AACAATAACCCTGAGAGATTCCTTAGGTAAACTAGATATACAGCAGCATGGAATTTACATCAAAATATTTGAATCCCATCATTCAGATCACAGACTCTCTCAAACGGTCACAATGTAAATGCACTTTATTTTTTACAGAGAGAATCCATACTATGACAGCCGTGTTGTTGGAAAATATTGTGAAAAAAGAGATCCTCACTTGGCTTGCATGGCTTATGAACGAGGACAGTGTGATCAAGAACTCATCCAGGTTAGTTATCATTGACAAAATGTTATCAAAAAAGACTTATAAGTTGGGATACCTGTGTTGTTTGGAGAATGAATCCCAATCTCTTCAACCCTTATTGAATGCACAGGCAGCCCAATCAGTTCCTGGAATACTGTATAGTGTGTGTATTAACTATGAGTTGTGCTTTCATAGGTCTGTAATGAGAACTCTTTGTTCAAAAGCTTGTCACGTTACTTGGTGAGGAGAAGAGACCCTGACTTGTGGGCTAGTGTTCTTGTAGAAGACAATCAATACAGAAGACAACTCATCGACCAGGTAAAACTTCCTACTTGTTGAAAACATTGTTTTGTACAAACAAAACTATGGTTTTCTTGGTCACCTTACTCTTAAAAACATCTATGGACGTCTGTGTCTGCCTGTCTACTCTGTACAGTTATTGGTGTATATAATGTTTATCAATACATGTGTTGTGATGGTTAGGTTGTGCAGACAGCTTTATCTGAAACTCAAGATCCTGAGGATGTGTCATGCACCGTCAAGGCCTTCATGACTGCCGACCTCCCTAATGAACTCATTGAACTCCTTGAGAAGATTGTGTTGGAGAACTCTGTGTTTAGTGACCATAGGTACAGAAAACTGTTGTTATTGCTAATAATCATCATCTTTTCCATATTAAATATTGTTTAGCATTGTCATTAAATCATTATTTGGCATCATAATGGTCTGCTGTAGTTAATGTTCAAGTCGTAACTTTGACATCTATGATATTCCTTTTACAATAAAGACTCTTCTCCTACTAACCTCGCTAAAGTTTCACCAAAATATTGAAAATTGTTTTTCTTTTTTCTTTTCATCCAACAGAAACCTTCAGAACCTCCTGATTTTGACAGCTATCAAGGCTGACAGGACTCGTGTTATGGAGTACATTACACGACTTGACAACTATGATGCTCCTGATATTGCCAGCATTGCTATTGGAAGTGAACTCTACGAGGAGGCTTTTGCTATTTTTAAGAAATTCGACGTAAACACCTCTGCTATTCAGGTAATTCTCTCTTTTTATCTTTGTACTTACATGATGTCTTCGTCTCCTCCTTCCATCTCCCTGCTTATAATGTGTATTTTGGATTATTTAATCAGGTTTTGATTGACAACATTCAAAACTTGGACCGTGCATACGAATTTGCTGAGCGTTGTAATGAGCCTGCAGTATGGAGTCAGCTGGCCAAGGCACAGCTACAAGAAGACATGGTCAAGGAAGCAGTTGATTCCTTCATCAAAGCTGACGATCCTTCGTCTTACATGGAGGTCGTGGAATATGCCCAAAGAAAGGGTAATTACATACACGATTAAATAAAACAATTGGATATTATAAATCTTGATTTAAATTTAACGTCTAATGAGATTTTTTCTGCATCCATCGCGCATGGATTTCATTCATCCTTTCGTTTATTCAGTTTACATTCATTCGTTAGTCCTCACATCAAATCATTTGATTTTCCGTAGACAACTACGAGGATCTGGTACGTTATCTACAGATGGCTCGTAAGAAGGCACGTGACACGTTTGTCGAGACGGAGCTGATCTTTGCGTATGCAAAAACCAATCGTCTGGCTGAACTAGAGGAATTCATCTCAGGACCGAACCACGCCCAGATTGGACAGGTTAATAAAAACACTCCCCTTTTTCTTGTTACTTCTAATTTCAACTTAAAGTCAGCTGTGATTGAACCTGACTAACTCTGCCTGTCATATGGTATTTTGATGACCTTTGCGATTGTAGGTTGGTGATCGTTGTTACGATTCTGGGATGTACGAAGCAGCTAAGATCTTGTACAACAATATTTCGAACTTTGCCAAACTGGCATCTACTTTGGTACACCTTGGTGAGTACCAGGCAGCCGTCGATGGAGCAAGAAAAGCTAACAGCACCAAGACATGGAAAGAGGTAACGACTTGATGTTCAAATAGGAATTTGTCTTAAAATTAACACAAGTTTCTCTGTAGGTGTGCTTCTCCTGCGTGGAAGGCGGCGAGTTCCGACTTGCTCAGATGTGCGGTCTTCACATTGTAGTCCATGCTGATGAATTAGAAGAGTTGATCAACCATTATCAAAACCGTGGCTATTTCGAAGAACTGATCAGCCTGATGGAAGCAGCACTAGGTCTGGAGCGTGCGCACATGGGTATGTTCACTGAGCTGGCTATCTTGTACTCCAAGTACAAACCATCGAAGATGAGGGAACATTTGGAATTATTTTGGTCTCGTGTCAATATTCCTAAGGTTGGTGAACCGATTATGTTATATGTACCATTTGAGGTGTGATCAAAAAACACGCTCTAGTGTTAATTGTAACTAATTATTAGTTAATTTTACAAATTTTCGTTATTTTAGGTTCTTCGTGCGGCTGAGCAAGCCCATCTGTGGTCAGAGTTAGTGTTCTTGTACGAGAAGTACGAAGAATACGACAATGCCGTACAGACAATGATGAGTCACCCCACTGTAGCCTGGAAAGAAGCCTTGTTCAAGGATGTGATCTGTAAAGTTGCCAACATTGAATTGTATTACAAATCTCTTCAATTCTACTTGGATTACAAGCCAATGCTGATCAACGATTTGTTGTTGGTCTTGACTCCTCGTATGGACCATACTCGTGCTGTGACTTTCTTCAGTAAAGTTAACCACTTACCACTAGTCAAGCCTTACTTGAGATCGGTGCAAAGTCACAACAATAAAGTAAGTTGTGTTTGTACTTCATAGTAGAACCCTTTGTAGGGGACAAGGCAAGGGCGGATCCGGGGGGAGGGGGTTAATTACGGTACCTAGTCACCCTTTTTATTAGGGTTAAAGAATATAGAAACAACAAACAACCAAAAATGGGAATCATTTAAAAATAATAAATAGATAATTAGATAAAACAGAATTCATCTGACAGAAATATGAAATGTGTTGCTTATCACTTTTCATTTTGATATAACATTTATTCAAAGAGAGTTACTTACTAAGATTCTGATGTTTTTGTTTATAGGCCATCAACGAAGCCCTTAACAATCTCCTGATCGACGAAGAGGACTACAATGGTCTCCGTGCCTCCATCGATGCATTTGATAACTTTGATAACATAGCTTTAGCACAGAGACTCGAGAAACATGAATTGATCGAATTCCGCAGGATCGCCGCATATCTCTTCAAGGGAAATAACCGCTGGCAGCAATCTGTTGAACTTTGTAAGAGAGACAAACTTTTCAAGGTATGCTGAGCAATCTAGTAAAGCTCTTTTAGTTCGGACAGTGTTTTTTGAAATTATTGATGATGATGAAGATAGTGATGAAAATAAGGATGATAATCAGTTGATCGATGAAGTCGTCTGTATCACTCCATCCAATGTTTACTTTCGCAAAGAGGAAGGAATGAGATGGATGAGCTTCTTTGTGCTGAGTGAAACCCATGAAATAGATTAATTCATGTACTATATGTTCATCAGAAAAAATACTAGACTTTTCCGTGATCAAGACGAAAACTTACTGTATTTTAATTACGCCACAAAGTTGTTCCTGTTAGTTTTGTACCATATGTACCATTTCTATTCTAATACTTATTTTATTCGCTCTATTTCTATCATTTCACTATATTTCCTATACTTCAGTATTATGAGTGTTCTATTTGTTTTACAGGATGCCATGTTGTACGCTGCCGAGTCCCGTAGTCGAGACACAGCCGAGGATCTCATACAGTGGTTCCTTGAGATTGGTCATCACGAGTGTTTCGCGGCGTGTCTCTATATGTGTTACGATCTTATTAGTCCTGATTATGTCCTGGAACTGGCTTGGAGACACAACCTCATGGATTTCGCAATGCCGTATATGATACAAGTATTAAAAGAATATATAGATAAGGTAATGGTAGAGTTTTTTGTCTCCTTTGATCTCGGCACTCCACTTACATTAGTTTTCGTTTTCCAGGTTGATAAATTACGTGCTTCAGAAGCCGAAAGAAAAGATCAAGAGGATAGTAAACAAGACACGCCTATAGTTTTTGGTAGGTCACTTACTACAAGCATTTGTAGGATCACTGCAATGCTTAATAATTACCTTTTCAAAATAATCAATACCAAACAGTCAGCAAAAAGTATACTAACAAATGACTTGAAAACTAAACAATCGAATAACGGAAAATTGACGTCGAACTTTAACACGAGTTGTTTTGTTTTTCCAGGTAATGAGCAGCTGATGATTACTGCTGGTCCTTCCATGGTTCCTGGTATGCCACCTGGTAGTATGATGGGAATGCCCCAGCAACAAGCGTACGGTTTTCAGCCCGGTTATGGCATGTAATCATTCACGTAGTTTTTTAAACCATCCAGTGTTAATGGCGTAAAATAGATCTGTTATTGTTGGATTGATAAACTAGGGTAGTTCTTGTAATGGGTAATAACACTTTAGAATAAACCAATGGACTTCTGGTATTCATTGTTGTTAGAATTCAATTGGGGGKGGGGGGGGGGGGGGGGGGGGGGGTAAATACGGTCTATTCTTCATTCCACCCTACCCTCCCTAGACTAGTTTCCGTCTTATGGTTAAAACAAGAACCCATAAATGCATAACATATTTTAGCTAATGTAATTATTACTTTAAAAGTAAATCAACGATCTACAAGCTACAAGCTACTAAGGTATGTTATTATTTGCCTATAGATTCAATGTACATAGGATATTCTAGAATGCAGTGAGCCGACATAACTGTATATATATATTTCACTGACGAATAACAAAACGTATAATAGCATAAATACTGCATCACCCTGCTTGTTGACACAACCTCCCCTATACAAGCAATGTCCGCGATACTGAGTGTTGCGTTCACAAAAGACTATATAGAGATCTGCCCGAGATATCTAGGTGTGCCCGTATAGGAAGAGGTTTCACAGTATCAACAAAATGCAAAACCTCAAACGCATGCAGGATAATTTAAAACGCTGCGGATCGTGAAAGATACGTTTAAATTCATCTTAGCCGCTGAACTTTTTTCATGTCTGCTAGTAATGAGATTATTAAAGTGTGTAAAAGCCAGGTGATGCGGCACGCAAGTTCTCTTTTGGAAACTTGCAAAGAAAACCTTTGAGAGTTTAAAAAGTGAAAAATTTAGCTTGTTGTAGAAAAGGTTGAAACCAGTTAGGAATATATTCCTTCACAGAAAGATAAATGAGGGATCTTCGGGCAAAAGGTGACGTTTCTCTTGATTCGGCCATATACTGTATATAATTCATGTCTAAGCCTAGTAGATAGAGTTTATACAAAGATAAAGTTGTTGAAATTCTCCTCGTCATTGCATTTGCAATTTGGAATAAGTGGGCTGATCCTACGCCATTCACCATGGCAACTGTATATATCAACTGCGTCCCAAGACGTCAGCTCGGCCAAGACCCCGTGACCTTTACAATGACCTTTATCATCCATTACCGAATCTTGACATTCTACACATACTGGCTTTACAAGATCGAGATTCTTGGCCCAGGTTCCTTGACAGTATGGGTGCTTGGACTCGACCTTAAAGTGCGCACAATAGCTTGGCCTCCTGACAAAAGATAAAATAATAAAATAATGTCATCATTATTGAATGGCTGGTATTAACATGAACAAGTATATTCCATCTCATGGAATGGGAAAACCATGGCATCGTGTTCTCTCAGTGCATGCTGGGTGATTCTTACATGCCTGGCATCGTGTTCTCTCATTGCATGCTGGGTGATTCTTACAGCCTCGTCATATTGAGACGGATGGTCAAAGATCACAATAAGTGCGAGAAACTCTTGGTCGCCTTCCGTCACAACTTGCTGTCATATATTCAATTCAACCTTGAAAATTTCAAAAACTTACTTCTTTCTTTCTTCTTGGAATAACTGCTTTGTCTTGGCTGGAAGGATTTTCTCATATTTGGATGGAAATCGTTTGAATTTTCGTGGCAAAACGCGAGCCATACCTTAAAGTTAAACAGTGTTTTTCAGTAAAAATGAAAGTTGTTAAGACTTAAGACTAGTAGACGCTACAGAATTACTTCATCCATGACTGTTCCACAAGTCAATCTTTAATCAGTAAGCGCAGAAGTACATACATGGTTATGTACTTCTGGTAAGCGTAGCAAACGATGCGTTTAGGACAATTTATCTTAGAATCCAATTGAAGATTATCACGACCGCATATCTCAAATCTGTATTTCTTGTTTGGTCGCTAGTGGGTAAGATCATGTGTATAGTGGAGTAGAATTAACTATTTATCTATTGTTAATTATTTCATAGCGAAAACATACCTGCTGCATCCCCACAGTGCTTTAGGAAACAGCCTCTTCTCTGTCTCAAAGGAGGACAAGTTTTTCCTCCGTCTCGCGAAGGCTTTACGATGACATCACGATGACGCTTTTGTCTTCCGACTCCACAGCGATGAGAGCACGATGTCCATCGGGACCATGTCGAAACGACGCATTCTTGTGCGTAAACTGCAAGGGACATTAAAGTTTATTCGTGAGATAATAGAGTGAAATCAATACCGGGATAATGGTTTACACCCTTGTCTGATAAATTAGTTAATGCAAGCATACGCATCTAATATTTATCATTCGACGGAAATGGGTCCAGGATTTTCTTCCGTGAGAAGGAGACAGTAGTGAAATATACAAGAACTCAGGAGGGAGTACGTACCTACCACCCCCCTCCCTGCACCCATACCCACCATTCCCCCCCCCCTTTCCTGCAGCCACAGTTATTACGTGTGCCTGAAGACACGAGAAAAGCCAACCTCCAAATGGTCGGCAATAGCTAGGGATCATGATCACAGACTACTGCCGAGGGTTAGACTGATCGTAGTTAATCTCCCTCTTTTAACTATGGGCTGATTGAAAGCGTTAAATGCAGGTTCTAAACAAACTGTCTAATCAAGCTGTTAAGTTATTTGCCACAATATCAGTTTTATTCGACTGAGCTCAGTATATACTGATGCCCGCCTGGGGGTATATATTCTAATTTGATAGTTGATTCGCTAATACACAGCGAGATGATCCAAAGTGTTTTGCTGACATTTTACTGCCTAAAATCTGTCAATATGGTATAGGCTCACCAGCTAATTTAACAGAGAGAATTGTTGAAAGTAATTTACACTCAATAAGTATCAAATGCCAATATCAGTCATGGTCTTTAACAGTTGATGCTGGTTGCTGCATGAAATGCAGATTGGAACTTGCCTTAACTGCGCAGGTATAAGAATTTAAGCCGTGATATGATAGGATAGAAACAGGAACACAAGTTATTTCACAGTGTTTTGATGGAAGTATGAGATGGTCCAGTGTGCGTGGCTATGGCACGAGCCCAGACACCTTCATGTCAACACTTTAGAGCGGCTTCTAGCAAACCGGAAGGAGGGGGAGTGAAATGCACAGGATTACGAGTAAGCTATAGCTCTTTTACTGTCGGTGTTAGTCGCGTGGCATTTACTCGTTAATCAGGAAACATGGAACCATTTTCACCAGGACTAAAGCGTCAATTTACTGGCAATTGGTTGCCTCATTGTTTAATGCAAATATGCCGTTTAGGACTGATATGCAGCTTTGCAGAAATATATGCGGGCTGAGTTTTCTCTGTCGTTAGCTGGTTTCAGGTTTATAACCGATTTCATCAGGTCTTTAGGAGGTGTTCAACAGTCTCAATTAGAGCTTTTGAGCTTCGAGGAGCACTTTACTGCTTCAATCATGTGGTATTGGAGTTGGATCATTCACACGAGTTCATTTGCGCGTGAATTCACATCTTTTGATATGTGCTAAATTTTTGGACAAATTAATTGTCACTCATTGTGAGAATGAATATCGAATCTCTTATGTCATTATTGATGGAAGTGCAAAACACTGTAAAATCAATGACACTAGTTCCTGGCTAGCGGAAGTAGTTCCTGGTATATGCATCACCAGCAGCCGGGGTTCCGAAAAAAAAGCGCGAAAACAAGAAAAATATCAGAAAAATCTCTCCAGTCTTGAGCCCGTGCAGTATGCGAGCTATTCACAGAATGAACCATTTACGCAGAACAGCTTTTCCTGGATTCAGTGTAAGGTTACCAGGTTACAAAGGTTGTCATTTTACACTTCTTGCGTGTGGACGAGGTATAAACTAATTCTTTGTGATCTCCAGGAAAGGAAATGTCGGGGAACAAAAGGGTTATTTAGTTCTATCAAATTATACCGTACCTACAGGATACTATCATCGACGGACGAACGCTAAGCATATTTCGTTTTGTCGTTATATCATTTTCCTGGAGTAGAATTTTTATCATGTAACACGTATATATTTAGCCAAGTAATTCGTCTTTAAAAAATACTTATCACCACAGGACTTGGTGGTTAGGATATGACCCTTCTGAACCGTTTTGACACTGAACCAATTCACTGAACTCTGCAGTAGTTACGAAATGAAATGAAAACATGTTTGGTTTCCAACATCCCTCTGCACCTAGTGACTGACAGGATTTTTAATTAACTTTACCATATGTTCAAAAAATACGGAAACATTTAATGACTTTTTCAAAGTATCGGTGGGAAATCTAAAGTATTTAATATATAGGTGAAAGGTTGCACCCAAAAAAGATTCTACAGTCCAAGATTATTACAGAGAAATGCTAAGTATGAGAAGATTTCACGTTTTTAACCAAGGTCACACAACAATTGTACAAACAACAGGATAAACTCCCCGCGTGTATTGGTTAGAAAGATCGGATATTACGTCCAAACAGTGGCAAAAATGAACGCGATAATGAAGGAATATTTCTGTGGAAAATGCGACACGAATGTGCAATATCTTAAAACAACAAATAACAGATCAAACTGGTTGAATTATTGTTTGAACTTCAAGAAAATCTTTGTTGATCGACTTGAAGGGTAATGGCTGCTAAATGTCACGTGATGTACATCTAGATATTTCTCAGTTCAGAAGAAAGACAGCAAACGAACCGCAAAAATGCTTCACAACGACAAGCAACTTGGCATTATCCCAATGGAATTTCAGTTACATAATAAAAATAGAGGATAAGTCTAAAAATACAACTGTTTAAACAATTCTAAATATAAAGGAACAAGCTGTAGTTGAAAAAAAAATCAAAAAATGATCTATTACATAAAAAGCTGACGTTATGTCATAAGCTTTCTGAAATGAAGCACAAAAAGATCTGCATTTTTGTTTGTTTATTTAGTTCAAGTGTGTTTAAGTTGCAGTTTTGTCTGCTTGTAGATGAATATCGTCCATAACAATACAAATCAAACAAGAATTTGGCATTTGCACAGCCGTGTCGTTCAAAATAAGAGGATCGTTGAAGGCTTTAACAATGACCTTGCGCTGTAGTCAACCACGACAAAGGCTTGAAGAGTCTTTAAATGAATAACTACTTTCAAACATACACAAGGCAAAACAATGGATACAATGACGATTATCTGTTTGTCTAACATTGAAATTTAGTGAATTTTTTAACTATTTGTCATGTATTATATAATTAGCCGCTATTAAATAGTCCTTTGTTAAAAGTTGGCAAAGTTTTCACTTACGTAAAACAATACGCTTCACTCGCCTGTGTGTACATTTTACGTAAAAAAGAGCTTACGTTTTTATAGCGGTTCAGCGCACATTTACGAATTCTTTCATCTGGACAGTGAGTGTTTGCTTTTGGTCATATTTCCCGCATTAACTAATCAGACATTCCGATGTTTATTAATCGTGATATTTGACGGAAAGGAATACCTAAGATACTACAAAATGCACACAAAATTTAATGGAAGCATGTCAGCCTCGCGAAATCCTCGAAGGTCATGTATTAAGCGCTCTCTTAAAAGTATCAATTATTTTACCACTAAAGTTTTGCTCGCGGAATCCTAAGGCACCAAATTGTATCAGTTTATTGTTGAAGTCAGATTAAGTATAGATTAATCACTAAACAAGTCAGCCCCGCGGTCAGTAAAAGCAGGAGAAAGATAAGCCATTGGCATATCAATAGAAGTATCAAGTAGCCTCAGGAGAGAATCACAACTGAGAGAATTAATGATATGGTTAAGTCACGATTAAGCTTTCTAGTTGTTTCCATTGAATTAAGTGAATTTCGCCTCCATAACCTTAGATTTAATAGTAAAAAAGTTTCAAATAGAAGTTAGTTTACCTTGTATTTTACATTCTTTTTTAACGCGTTCGAAGTCTGGACAACAATCACCAGCCAGTTCACAAAAAGCATCACAGAAACAAACTTTTCTTCTTGGTCTTCCATCGTCCGACTTTAGGTCGTATCTTTCTACAGCACAAGTACTATTCCTTCCAATACAGCAAGTAAGCGGACCATCTCTGTCCCTTTGGTCACACTGTCCTGAAACTACACTTGAATAGACAGCAAACACACATACAAAAGCTAATACAGCTCGCTTCATCTTGGATGTTAACCGTACTCTGCTCGGTACTTAGACTGACTTATCGATCTCTGTCTTTGAGTCAAATCCAATGTACTGATCGGAACACAAGACCCCGCACTGTAACTCGTGTCGGCTCGCCGGAAGTGACGATTTATCCTTGCCGACCTGGCAAGTTGTCAAAACCATTTGACTTCAGACGACCTCTGCATATCGACGAATCAATTATAGGGACGTCTCCCAATGCACAGACGTCCCGGTTTGAGTTTTTTGTCATTTTCGATCCTAAGTTCTTTTTTAAGTTTCTGTGAAAAATCGTGATTTTTCAGAACGTGCCTTTTAGCGAATCCAAAGGGAAGCCCAGGAATCTTGGCAATGATATAAACCACTAAGAACAAAAAGCCACGCTTTGTCCCCCGAATCTGCAATGCTAATCTTTTGAACGATGTACTTTTGTTGATGAACTAAAGACGAGTATTAATTTCAGGTGGTAGTGATCTTGTCTATCAACCGTGGATGCCAATGCAACTTGACAGCTGATAGTTGAAGTGTTGTTTCGTCACGAGAAATCAGATAGAGCGGTCGAAACGTTGCCAAGGGACTTCGCAAGGTCAGAACTGACGTGAGATTCTAATGAACAATGCAAATAATTCATCATAGAGGAAACCCTGGGCTTTGCTACGTCCGCCATAGAGCAGTATAAACACGCAAGACTGGTACTTAACCTATCGGCCGCGTATCGAATAAACTTCATAACTATTTTAGTTTGAGCTTTTCCCATTTTGTCCCTGTTAATTTAGGTTAAAATAGCTGTATTTCTTATGGACTGGGAAGATAACGTGCATTTATTTACATATTTGTGACAAAAATCATAGGAACTTTAAGATGCGCGCCGTACTTCCATTGTTAGGCATTTCCTTCATGTTTCCTTCGTTTCCATTGCTAACGTGTGGCAAGGAAATGAACTGATCACATGGATAAGATTGTAACGTTGTGGCGTCGCTGAGGGTGCGGAACCGCCTACGGGAACCGCAATGTTTGTTGACACCAAAAAACACCGAAACGTGAGGTAAATACCGACACCATTTCAATCCCCCCTTTGCAGTATTTCTATCAGGTACGCGGAGGAAAATGTTTGTTCTTGAACGTTTTTTCCGTTCCTTTCTACCAATCCACAATTTAATTTCCGGGGTTATATTGACGTGCGATATCATTTGCTCAATACGTATTTTGCTGCGGATTCTCTATTAACGTAGTGTTTCTATGTTTGGAGCATAGAAAGTAAAATAGCAGTTGTTTATAGTGAGTTTATTTCCGGTAACACAAGCGATGTTTGTAGTGAATGATAGACAAGGGTGTGGCCTGTTTACATTGAGGTCGGGGACAAGAACCACAATCAAATAGACACATGGGTGTCATTTTAATATTAAGTAGCACGAGAAAAGCCTCGGTACTTAATATGAGGAAATAATACAATTGACTGCGTTGTTTTCTTTCATTCCTTTGAGGTCTCAAAACATGGATTACACTAAGATGTTCTCTGTGTAAAACGTCCTTAACCTAAGCCTTGATCTGACGCCTTGATGTCCACTTTAAACTCTTTTATTCAGCACCAACAAACTAAAACAGCGAAAATCTAAAACAAACAAAATGCGTCTTTTCGCTGATGGTTCAGTTTTAGAGCGAGATTCAGTGAAAGTTTACAAGTTTCTGGGGCCAAGAAATACAATGCAATACTAAACATCGAAGAACAAGGGAGGATTTTTGCCAGCTTTGCAGCAATCAATCAATTAACCTTTAAACAAACAATTTCGCCAGTAATCCATTTTAATTAACTTTTTACCCCAGATAGATAGCATTGATGATTGTACCGAGTGAAGATATGATGTAACAAAATGGAATTGTTAAAAACGTAACAAATGTTTGCTGTTTGTGACTAGAATAGTGACATAAACAATGTGGCTCACAATGTTGGCGATGGGTGAGCCAAATCCATCTGATAACACGGCCAAACCCCTTACTTGAGCACAATACACTATCAGATGAAAAATACTTCAAGAGAATGGCTCTATTGACGATACACCAGTATGTTTTTGTAATAAAGGAAAGTTCTAGAACATAAAAGGGTGCATTCCATGATTTCCCATCTGAATGAACAGTATTAAAACTTTAAAAAATACGATATACTTTTTTAATCTTAACATGTTTCAGCATTACATTATGCCATCCTCAGAAGAATGAGAATAAAAGTCGTTACAAATGATTATATAGTCTAGGTACAAATGATTGACATGTAATATAATATGAACTAAATGAACTAGCGTGACTAATAAAAATAACAAGATAACCAGTACATGTTATCTGTTATCCCTATTTATAGATAATATGACAGCTACAGTTTAAAAGAAGTTTTCATATGCTTTACTTGAACGTTAAGTTCAGGTTTTAGATTGTTAATATAAAAAGCTTCTTTAAGTTTAAGGAGTATTTTATACTTTGCAGTGTCTAAGATCTTAAAACAATTCAAAGAGTATTTATCACTACAACTTTTAGATTTCGTGAGGTGTTTAAAGATGTGAGAGTTTTTATCAGAAACAGTATGTTCTTTAATCCTTGTAGAGAAATGGCGAGAAGTCTCTCCAATATAACGAGATTGACATCCCGCACAAGTAAATTGGTAGACTACACAAGATTTAAGACCATCTGGAATGGCATCTTTAAAACTAAAAAGTTGTTTGATTTTAAATGAAGTRAAAACAAGTTTAAGGTTAAATTCCGGACAAAAAAGTTTACATAGTTTTTTAATTTTAAAATTAGTTATTTTAGAAAAGTTTCCAATGTATGGTAGTTTAAAATAACGAAATTCGGCAGAAGTTTCCTGTGAGACATTGTTAGCTACATTTTTAGCATTGCTAATTTGTTGATTAACCGCGTTGTCTATGATATGAGCCGGAAAAGAGTTGCGTTTAAGTGTTTGTGTTTGTGTTTGTGTTTGTGTTTGTGTTTGTGTTTTTGTAACGACTTTTATTCTCATTCTTCTGAGGATGGCATAATGTAATGCTGAAACATGTTAAGATTAAAAAAGTATATCGTATTTTTTAAAGTTTTATTATCTCTAGTGCTACTACGAAACTATGGTAATGAACAGTATTATAGTGCTAATAGTTAACAGAGTTAGTAGAGGGGAACTAAGTAACTCTGTAGTTAATAAGTACACTTCAAACTCATTGTTCTCTTTTGTGTTTGATTATCTATATGATAATCCTTTCACGGTCCATGGAGTATCACCGTAGACAGTACCTCAGTGTTTAGCACATTCTTATCGAAGATGATTACAAATTTGTGGTAATGACTGAGAAGCGTCATCAACTTTACAAGCCTTCTGGGTGACCTCAAAAGCAAAACAAAATAACTGACCGACGAATTCAATAGAGGGAAAGCTGTGTTTCAGATAAATATACTCGACAGTAAGCAGCTTTATCCAAGAGTAGAAATCAATCCTTTTGGACACCCTTAAAGTATTTTCCTTATCAAAGTTAAGGTTTGAGAGACGAGACATCTTATGATGACCCCAGGCATTTACTGCCTGCGTGAGAATTTCTCACATTAGGAAGAAAAACCGCACATCTATTTGCTGAAAAAACCGCATCACCGCATCAAGGGACGTGAAAAGTTGTCTTAAGTAGTTGATTATTATATTGTAATGAATATTATTCTAAGCTAATGGCATCAAGCAAGGATTCAGATATAAAGTCACAGATGTTTTTGAACGGTTACTGGGGTCTAGACCAACAGGAGTTTTGCGGTTAAGCCGCAATGCAAGATGGAAACAATGCTTCGCTAATCTTTCTCTCATTAGATTACGCACAGCATTCCATGTCAAGCAGCAGCCGTGAGAAAATACGTCAAAAATTAATTTAATGGAGTACAGTTCGCGAAAGGGAAGATAAATTGTCACCTGTCGGTACAAAGGGCGATTTGTAATACGATTTGCGCATCGATCTTACGTAGACGTACGGAAATTCTACGTGAAAACGGCGTACCGCCGCACATCGATTTAATTGCATTTGAAACAAATAGAGCAAAGTGATGTTCTCGTCGAGCTTGCAAAGTAACTAAAGTACTGAGAGTGCTGCAGAGTACTGACGTCACTGAAGGGCGGACCCAAAGAACGAGGCAGGGGGTAACTCTTCTGCTTCAAATAAAGGATGATATTATGGTGTTAGGGTTTATCTACGAGTTGACACCGTCTTGAAGAGAAAAGAAAGATGATTAAGTCTGAGCTGACGTGTTCTTGTGAACAGATTCCTTGATTAATACACGTCGCCATCATGCAGTCACGCTAACAATCCGTACTCAAAGTCAAGTGTTATACGCAGTCAAGATTTAATACCAGTCAAATTATCTTAACATCACATTAGATGCTCTGATATTATCACTAAGCGTTGTACCAACCAGAAATTGAGGAAGGTAGACCGGTGTTTTCGTGAGAGCACGTAACATGTTCGATAACCATGTGTCAAAGAAATAACTTCCCTGTTGAGAAGAACTAATTTGAGCGATATCAAAACGGGTCGTGGTCGTGCTGGGATCCATATAGGTTGCTATTGATGAAAAACTGTTTTAAATACCGATTTTCACCATGCACGCACAGTATAAATACCTAAATATATTCATGCAATACCGAAAAGCAATACCGATTATCTTTAAAGTTGCAGCTCTACTGATCCTTAAAAACCTGATCGCTGATTCCCCGGAATCCCCGACTGATCCCTTATAGATGTTCGCCTGAGCAGAGCTACTAACTCTGTACTAAATAAGTGTTCTGTAAAGATAAAAAAAGCAACAATTTGTGAAAGATAAGTCAAAAACGAACTGCAATTACGTAATTATCCACTGAGAAACTATGTGCAAAAAGTAAAAAAACGCTTCAAAAATTATAATGACAATCGTACGAGTGAAATGATTTCCGGAAGCATGATGACCGAAACAGAGAACGATCTCTTCGCATCTTCTCTTCGCCGCCGTGAAAGTATGGATGACGTCATTTTTGGAAGCTCTTTAATTATCACGATCAACAATTCCATTCAGTGATCATCGTGAAACTATGAAATTGTCTTGACAAAACGATGACACAACTACGAGCTATTTTTAAAATTACATGCACCATGTCAGTAACCATGCACCATCAATTCTCTTCATTATCGTCGAACTCCGAGTGACGTCATTTCTGGGAGCTTTCATCAGATGGTGACCGAATACAGTGAACTTGGATTCCTGCGTATAGGAATGTTAACCCCGGAATCGCTGGACGTGAATGCATGCAATTATTCTATCGAAAAAATCCCGAATTGTTGTCTGAAATTACGGACATTACCGTAGACTATTGTATCGCGATGCATATGACAGCACTGAAAGCTTAAAGAACTGATTGAAATACATAAATCAAAAACTAATAAATAAAATAATGAGATTTTTAGATGAAAGATGAAAAGGAGAAACAAAAAAAAAAGGTTAAAGGAGAAACAAAATGAAACAAAGACATAGTTGAAATTAAAATTGAGAAAAAATATAACGTTGTAGTGCTATTGTTAAAATTACTGAAATACATCTCTTTACAACATTAGCCGGCATTGTCTTAAATAAATATTTCGCGTTGAATTCTTCAGTTTTCCATTGACGGTTTTACCCTGTGGTAGATGACTTCATTGCTCCCTTCTTGTTTAGCGGCGTAGCGAGCTGCCGTAAAGAGAAAGTCGCTCAGCCTACAAAGATCAAGAAGACACGCTGTTATTGCGGGATTTAGGGAGGAGGAAGAGGGGGAAGGTTGGGGAGGGGTGGGACACATAATCTTCAATTTGTATTTTCCAAAGGTGCTACATTGGGCAACCAAGAATCCTTGAGAACATTCCTGGAGTTTGTCTATCCCCATATGATTCTAAAGCTTGGTAAATCATGTGCATGCGTCTTTTGATATCTTTAATATGATCTAGTAAATAATGACTCTGAGAGAAGATATCAGACTTACCTGTTTAAATATTGTGATACTGATTGATCAACACTTCCATTCTCGACCAGTGGGACAACTCTAGGAACCCAAATCAAATAAAACAATCATAACAGCAAAAGTCATGTTCAAAGATTGGGCATGACTCAAGCTTTCTCAGAATAATATATAGACAAAGGCGGAAAATACCCTCTCAAATTCACAACTATTTTTAATTTATTATAAAACTCATTAAAAATACATGAACTTTTGTTTAATAATGTCTGTCTATTTGTCAGGTGATTGAACTTAAATGTGGCTGTCACCATCCAATTGTTTAGTCGAGGAGCCAGGCCACAAAAAAATGGTTTCGTTTACTTCTCACCACAGAAAAGGTTTGATAGCGGGTTTTGATAGAATGAACCCTGCTGAATAAGGCTAGGTAGGTAGTAAAGTCAAATTGTGGGGTCGCTTTCGAGATATAGGCGTGTTTTTAAAGGACACCGGAAGTCAAGCATGAAATTGAGGCTAGGAGCTAGCAACACATTTGTCTTTAAAATGCTAATCATTTAGCATAAAAATGTTTTACAAACGGCAAAATATCAATTTGTTATTGTTTTAGGAAACAGAATAACCAATAATTTTGTGTCACGTGACAAGTCACGTGTTTCCCGACAGCATTTCCGGTGGATCATACTATATTATGCAGAAATTCTTACTCATAATTTATTATGACCAGATATTTGCAAGGTTTATACCCGACTAACAATCTAAATTTTTATTTTTATTCGTTATGGATCGAAAACGTTTTTAAACTCTTACTGTTAGAAAATATGGATGCAATTGTGGATAATTGATAACTGCGTTTTTCTGTAAATCTCACTTCCGGTTAAATGCCAGGACAAAAACTAACAGCACATTCGTCTCAAAAACGCTGATTATTTAGTAAGGAAAATTTATAGGAATAGCAAACTACCTTTTTTCATCATGTCTAAAT